AGGAGCAGAACCCCCTGAAAGGAACAATTCTCTGAGACAGGACACAGACACAGTGTCCCCAGGGAAGTGTTTCCCGCAAAATTGCCAGGGTCTCTCTCTCCAGTGTGCTCAGCACAGTCTGAAGTCTACATGGTTTTGACATCTCTGCATTCCACTTATTGTGGTGCCAGTGGTATAACTCAGAACAAAGCTGAGTTTTACATTTGCAAACTCATGTTCCCAGAACATTGTTAAAATACAGAAATTGACAGGAAGCATAATGGAGTCAACGTTAGCTCTTGTTGATATACAGTCACCTCTGAGCCCCTCCCAGCCAGGGAGGCTGCTGGCCACCAGCGGCACTCTACCTAATGCTTGGGGTAGGGGTGGAAAGGCAAGAGAAGAGACGATGTGAAATATCTCACCTTAATGAACTCTGTCTTTTTCTTAGATGAATAGTGGTAGGTTTGAAAGCAAAATAGGATTTTTATTTTAGTGGAGTGGGCTGAGGATGTAGCTCAGTGGAGAATCCCTGCCTGGCAGGCCCGCGACCCTGGTCCCACTAGCCCAGGGCTGAATGTCCACAGATGGGGGCCAGATGAGGACACACATCCAGAAACACCATCTAACCTTGAGAGGGAGGGAGTTGTGGCACACCCCGAGGGGGCAGAGCTGAGGACCGCACACGAGACAGAGCCAGACAGAAAGGAAGTGCCTGCAGGCTCCATCATGAGCATGGGCAGCACCTGAGGGCCAAGCCCCAGACACAAGGCTGGCCAGGGCCGCCAGGGGCCGGGGAGGAAGAGGCTTCTTTAACAGAGCATCTGGCTGGGTGGGATGCTGGGGGAGGACCCCTGAGGACAGCCCAGGGAACATTACAACTCTCTGTGTTCTATTGTGGTTTTCCTGTGCTGAAGATTGAACCCAGGGAGACTTCACCACTGAGCTACATCCCCAGCCCTTTTTTATTTTGAAACAAGGTCTCACTAAATTGCCCATACTGGCCTCAAACTGCCGATTCTCTGGCTTCAGTCTCCTGAGTCCCTAGGATTACAGACTGTACCGCCACAGCCATAACTATGCGTTTTTACAATTAAAAACCAGACCGGGGATGTGGCTCAGTGGTAGAGTGATGGCCTGCAGGTGTGAGGCCCTGGGGTTTTGGGGTTTGATCCTCAACACTGAGGGGAAAAGAATTAAAAACAAAAAAAGTGATAGAATGATTTTTATCTGAAAACACTGAAAATGATATACCTTGTATCTATGAAGAATAAAATTGAGATGTTAACTTACAAATTATGAGCAAGTGAGAGTCTTTGAAGACTCTTTAAGAGGCTCAAGCTGATAGCCAGAGGCTAGTCACCAAGGACCTGTGGGGCAAGGCTAACCCTTACCCCACAGGACCACAGCAGAACTGGTCACCAAGGACTTCCTGAAGTAGGGCTGACCCTCGCCAGGCAGGACCGAAGCAGACCTGGTCACACCTGGTACAAGGTGTCCAGCACACGTCCTGTTCCCACCTGAAGGGTGCCCATCTTGGCCACAAGGGCAGGGCAGATTCTCCAGGTCTTCAAGTGGCTGGAAGTGGGTACATGAATGCAGCCACGTGGTGTGTGGTGAGAAGGTGTGAGAAGCCACCCATTGCTGGAGGCAAGAGATGGGCAGGGGACAGGACTAAAAGAGGCAGGGGACAGAGGGAGGGGATAGAAGGAGGGGGCGGAGGGAGGGAATGGAGGCAGGGGATGGAGGGACCACAGCAGACTGCAGAGAACCCTGGTGGGAACTGGCTGGTCAAGCGAAGCCCACCCCACTGCCAGCGGAGCCCCCACAGCCACCACCACTATAGACCTGTGAACCCCACCCACCTTCTTCTTGTACAAATGACCCAGCCATACCACTCTGTGCCTTGAACCTTGGTCAACCTGCTCACAACGTCTGCTTCTCTCTGTTGGGCCTGGCTCGGCAGTGCTGGGGGTGGAGTCCAGCGCCTGTGCGTGTTGGGCAAGCCTCTGCACTGAGCTGCCCACCCCCCCGCCGCTGCTCCCAGACACTGAACTTGTTGCTTCCTTGTTTCAGCTGCAGGTGAACGTGCTGTCCAAGTTCCTACTGGTGGCCAAGTCTTGCTATGAGCAGAGGAACTTCGCCACAGCTATGCAGATCCTGGGTGGGCTAGAGAACCTGGCTGTGAGGCAGTCTCCTGTGCGTGCACCTGGGCCATGGCCATGGGTGGGTGGAAGGCACACGGCCAGCAGGGGTCTCACCTGCGCTTCCATTGCAGGCCTGGAGAATGCTGCCTGCCAAGATCGCAGAGGTCCTGGAGGAGCTGAAAGCCGTGGAGGTACTGACCACAGAGCTTCCAACCTCAGGCCTTACTCCACACCCTGCAGGGCACCCACCCACACAGCCCATGTCAGGACCCCAGACACAGCCTGGTCACCTAGGCAAAGGGGCCCCACCTGCCAGGTCACATGGCCTGGCTGGGCTGCCTTCCTGGCACAGGGCACCAACCCAGGTTGGAAGTGGGACCTGAGCACGGCTGACTGAGAGACCTGCTCTAGGCACCCAGGGGGCCCCGGAGGATAATAAGTAGAAAACACTGTTGAAGTGACCTGGACTTTTCCAAAGTGAGGCAGCCAGAGCCTCAACTGTCAGCCTATGGCAGACACCCCCGAGCATCCACGTGGGCGGGCTGGTGTGTCCTCACTGCAAACACAATCACGGGGCTGCACTACCTGCCAGCATGGGTCTCATTTGGGAAGGTCGGGCTCCTGGCTCTTGTAGGAGCCCAGCAGAGAATAAGGAATTTGCCGTTAGAGCAGCTCAGAGCTCTCTGGCTGTCGGCATTCTGTGCCCAGTGCATAAGAGTCCAGGCTTACAACCCTCAGTCCAGGAACCCCAGGTTCATGTTGAACTAAATGTGCAGTCAGAGTGCTGTGCAGCACCCCCCCACACAGCCAGTACACAGGCTGCCCTGACTTCCTGCTGACACCCCTGGCTGGGCCACCAGGTGTTCCTGAAGAGCGACAGCCTGTGTCTGATGGAAGGTCGGCGCTTTCGAGCCCAGCCCACCCTGCCCTCAGCCCGCCTCCTGGCCATGCACATTCAGCAGCTGGAGACAGGGGGCTTCACCATGACCAATGGAGCCCACAGGTGGAGCAAGCTCAGGTAAGGGGGCTCAGCATGACCAACAGAGCCCACAGGTGAGCTGACTAGGTGGGAGAGTTTCACCATGACCAACAGTGCCCACAGGTGAGCAGGCTCAGTTGGGGGCTTCACCATGACCAATGGAGCCCACAGGTGAGCAGGCACAGGTGAAGGCTTCACCATGACCAATGGAGCCCACAGGTGAGCAGTCTCAGGTGCACCCCTCCTCCAGTTCCTCCTGCTCTCTGGCTGTCGGCATTCTGTGCCCAGAGCATAAGAGTCCAGGCGTACAGATGGAGCTCAGAGGCCAGGGCATTTACCCTGTCTCAGCCCTTGCCCTGCCCCAGGGCCTCAGCACTTCTCAAAAAACAGTGTGATTCCGGTACTGCCGGTATCCACGGTCCCTAAATGCCCCACGTTCTCGAGTGACCTCCTGATGGAACCCAGGCACCCTACCATCACCTCCCTGGCTTCTGCAGCACGGAGCCTCCCAGTACGTGAACGCCCCAGCCTGGGCGTCCCTTCTCTAGGCCTCCCGGAGGCACCAGTCAGTTCTCCAGCCATTCCCGGGCCCGCTGTTTCCCTGACCAGCATCCTTGCCACACTGCCATCCACATGCTGCCTGGGAGGCATGGACCAGAGAGTAGCTATAAAGCCCACTGCTATGACCCTCCAGCAGCCCACACACCCAGGCCTCATAGGAGCCTGGCTCTCATTCTGCCTCAGGAGGTGCTGGCCAGGTGGCCTGTCCTCAGAGACCCAGGACCTGTCCCAGGTACCCCTCCAGGTGCCATAGCTTGCAGACACACCCAGGCCCCAGTCTCAGCCTCACTTCTCAGCTCGCATCTTCACCCCTGCTCTGCGTCAGCCACGTGGCAGTCAGAGTACCTGGTCAGGCTGCAGCCTGGCTGGACAGACAAGGCCCAGAGGACCCAGTGCACAGTGGCTCCCTATTCAGACAGTCACCAACTTAAAAAAAAAAAAAATAAAATGCATCCCAAATGTAAGCTTATCATAAGAGACCAGAAAGCCTGCCTCCGTACACAGAACTAATGACACAAGGCAGTGCCACCATTTAGAAGGGACTCGGGCCGAGGCTTGGTGACCTCTCTTGATTCTGTGTGGATGTGTGTAGACACATGGGCCTCTGATGGACAAAAGCCACATAACTCCTGCTGGACACACTGATTCTCCATCCAGACTCAGGCGGAGTGCCTGTCTGCGGGGCCTGCGACCCCCCAGACAGGCGAAAGGGCCTGAGTCCTCAGCTGATAACCAGTGGTATGCTGGCCACTGGCGTCACTGCAGCACAGAGTAGAGGCACCACACAAGGACACATCTGCACGCATGGTCCCCCGGTGAGCCGTGACCACTGGCACTGGGTTTCATTCGTGCTGGGACATTCAGTTCTGCAGCCTGATAGAGGGTCAGTAAACGCTGTGGAACCAAGAGTGGGCGAGGCCACGTGGGACCTGAGCCAAGGCCTTGTGAACAGAGGCCGGAAACCTGCCCTTTGGTGTCTATGCTTTGAGAGTGCTGGGTTCGAGCCTTTCCTAAGAACACGCCAGGATTCACAGGGACGGGACTCCCTGTGGCTTGTGCAGACTGACTGTGGCTTTTCCTTCCCCACCACAGGAACATAGCCAAGGTGGTGAGCCAGGTGCACGCATTCCAGGAGAACCCCTACACGTTCAGCCCCGACCCCAAGCTGCAGTCTCACCTCAAGCAGAGGATCGCCCGCTTCAGCGGGGCCGACATCGCCATCCTGGCAGCAGACAGCAGGGCCAAGCTGCACCAGGTCCCGAGCGAGAAGCACTCTCGGAAGATCCAGGACAAGCTGCGGAGAATGAAGGCCACGTTCCAGTAGCTCAGGACCTGGCCGGTGGGGGTCCAAGCGGGACCAGCTGGGGGAGGCAGCTGCATTCCCAGAACCCCGCAGAACCTGGACTTCCACCAGGTCCGGATCCGAAGGTGGAGCTCAGAGGAGCTTGCCCAAGGCCCTGCCGCAGGGCGCACAGAGCTCCAGCCTGACCCAGCAGCAGAGGCGGCAGCTCCAGGACACTGCACAGGGTGGGCATAGCATTTACTAGCCCATTTCTGCTGCAACTTGAAATGAAACTAGAATAAGTAGACTTCCTTCAGTTTCGTACTTACAATCTCTCCATAAACAAATGTCTCTCTATTCTTTGGTGACTCCTGCCCAAAACAACCCAAAACCCATCCATCCCTGACCCCACAGATTCCAGACCCAGCTGCTCACTGAACAGTGTTGCCACACCTGTCCAGAAGCAAAGGACCAAAACTGATCCCTGCACCAGCAGCTCCCAGGCTTCTGACTGGGCCCTGCTGGGATCATGCTCCCACCACCCACCCACCTGGCCTTCCACGGCCCCCCCACTGTGCCAGCATGTGGGGGAAGGAGTTCTATCCCAGCCAGCCATCCTGCTGTGGCAGCTGCTCCCCGTGCCTGGTGCCCCAGCTGGGAACAGCTACCCTAAGGGACATGCCCAGGCGAAGGCTTCAGCCCTGGAACAGGGTGTGAGGCACTAACAGCAGCTCCAGAGCAGGGAGGCCACCTGAGCTGAAGGCGCCTATGCACACCTCACAGCCGGTGCGGCAGGCAGGGCTACCCATGCCTTTAGCTGCCAAGCATGTGCACTCCTGACCACCGCGTCCCTCTGCTTGGCACCAGCACTAGCGCTTTGTCAGACACGGACATGAGGCTTGCTGCCCAGTGGTACCAAGCCCTTCCCTGAGTTTGTGGTCTAGACAGTCTGTATTGAGCACTGGCTCAGCAAGTGGAGAGCCCCTCTAGCCGGGGGACCTGGGAACCTGTGGAGTGCAGTGGGTCAGGGAGACTCACCTGCTAGACACATGGGCCATCCCAGGAGCCTCCTGCTGTGAGACCCAAGACTGTGTTTTAGAGGAGGTGGCCCCAGTGAGCCACTAGTGACGTTTCAGGGGCAGCTGCGTGCTGTACTGTCAATGCTGAGGTTCTCCCCACATAAACCCACTGGGACCAAGCCCTGCTTCCGCGTGTGTGAGGGTGCAGGGACGTGCCCTTGTGACTCACTGTGAGGACCCTGGTGTCCTGCTGATGAGCGCCGTCTTCAGATTTTGTCTGTGCCCAGCGCAGCAGCAGCCCAACTGTCTCTGGGGAAGCAGCGGGCTTCCGGCTTCGGCACTGTTTGCATGGCACCCTGATGTCTCGCGGTACAGATTCCTGAATAAAGTCATTTCTACCAAGCCATTGCCGTGTGGCTCATTCCAAAGCCATACCCCACCGAGGGTAAGGCGAGGTATACGCAGTAGCAGATGTGCCTGGCCCAGGCCTGGAACCAAACTGCCAGGCCACAGCACCGTCACATGGTCACACTTGCACACTCAGTGACACCCAGAGGGCCCAGGTCGGCAGACTTACCCTAACTCAGGTGCTACCAGAAGCCAAGTGCCTTAAATTCCCAGGAATGTGAAAGCAAACCTACCTCCTGCGGCAGGAGCGAAGCTGAGTGAGGACTGTGGACCCTGGGAAACAGGTCCACATCTCGGGCCGTTCTGCCATGTGCCCTGCTCACCCCGGCCAGTTCCCCCGGCAGCCCAAACATGGCCCACAGCCCACAGGTGAGACAGTGGATCCCTTGCTCACCCAGCAAGGCCTCACCAGGACTTCGGCCCTGGCTCAGAATGGGGTGAGGTAGGGCACTGTTGTGGGGGCTCTCATGCCCACGTGATCGGTTAGGACTGGTGACACCCCAAAGGAGGAGCTTAAGGCTCTTCTGAGTTTCCAGTGTGAACTCTGGGTGTTTTTATGGAAGTACTGAGGCTCTGAGGAAGTTCCTGTAATGAACAATGCTGCTATCTGCCTGGCTATCTGCCAAAAAGACAATGGGACAGTAATGTGGCAGCTATTCCAGGTGAGTGGTCCAGGCCTCACCCACCCTACGTCACTGAAGCCCTAGCCCTGTGTGCCACCCCTTCCCCTCCTGCAAGGCTGGAAGACACTGCTCAGGAAGGTCTCCCATCAGGGCAGCAAGTCTGTGAACTTAGACCCTGGAGAACCCAGGGCCAGTACAGCCTGCAGGAGTGTGCCTCTCCTAGCCGACTGGAGCCTGCCCTGCACACGGCAGCAGAGGACACCACCAACACACAGGAGGTTCAACGACCCTGAGGCCACCATGCCAGTGGCAAGCCCAAGAAGCCACATGGTGGCCTACACAGACAGACATGCCCCAGGGGCCCCGTCTAGGAGCCACCAGGCACCAGCACAGGGCACCTGGAGAAGGCCTGAGAACCTCAAAAATAGCAAGCTGTAGCCCAGAAATACTGTCCCCGGGTGGGAGATATAGCTCAGTTGGTAGAATGCTTGCCTAGCACACATAAAGCCCTGAGTTCAATTCCCAGCACTACAAACAAACAATAAGAAATTATCAAAGAAAGAAAAAGTAGTACTGCCCCAGACAAACCAGGTTCATGTGGCCAGCCAGAGGCTGCCCTCACCTGCCTCAGGCATAAGAGATACAGGCAAGCAGTCCCTGGTGCTGGGAGCCATTAGCCAAGTAGGTATGACAATTTCCTTGCCAGCGTACCCCATGTTGCAGTGACATTGAATGTAGGTGACCTTGCTCAAGGACCAAGGCGGATTAGGGCGTTCCCGGTTTAGGTTCCAGGTTTAAGATTTAAGATTATTCCTGCTGGGAATAGGGCGTATCCTGCTGCCTGAGTTCCCCTTGAGTTCTCACGGGATTCAGACAGTATATTTTGGAGATAGAAGCCCAGTGGAGGGGGATTTGGGCAGAGAACGTGGATTTCCCCAGAACATGATTGTAGACGGCTGGTGTGAGTTCGGGAATAAAGAGTTGCTGTTTGAATCTACAAGCTGTGTGGTGGCTCGTGATTGTGTGCCCAGCCAGACTGTGGCACCCTGGTCCTCACCCAAGCCCCTGACCAGAGTCACCAGCTAATGAAAAGGTGGCTCATTACATCACACCACAGATGACCAAATGTCATGCAGGACGTAGAGCTAGTCAGCTCCCTTCTTAGAGACTTGGTCTCCTGTCTGAGGGTTCTCACAGTCAGGGACACCAGGGAAGCACCCCACTCCTCACCTCGCTCAGTGCCCCCCCTCCCTAGACCCCGACTGCCTCACAGAGAAGCACACTTGGGGTCCCCAGCTTAGGACAGATCATGCTCCCACACAGCAGCTTTCCAAGGAATGTTTAGGGAAGTGAGCATCCACCCCACTGATCCCCAATCCTACTCCCCCACAGGACAAGATACGGGCTGCCTTGTGGTCCATAAACGTCCTTGTGCAGGTTCTAGGGAGACGTCTGGTTTCGGCTTCTCTAGATAAATACCATGGGCGCGCCTGATGGATCCTCGGGAGAGAATACTTTAGTTTTACAAGAATCCACCAGACTGTCCCAAAAGTAGCTATTGTATGTAAACCAGGCTGAGGCAGGAGGATCCTCAGAAACTTAGCAAACTGTTTGGATGACCTTAGCCTGAGCCTAAGCTACTCCATTTTAAAAACTCCAGTTTAACCTGCAGTCTCATTAGGCACACCCACAGATTCCTCCAGCATGACCTCAAACAAGTTACTTCCCCTCACCCCTGGGAGGCTGTCCTCGCCTAATAAGAGGGAAGGGGAGAAGATCAGGGTGGAGACCACCAGACCAGATGTTTCTACCCCAGGGTAAATGATGTCACTCAGAAATCCAGTGGTAGCTGATAAGGATTGAAAGGGGGGTCAAAAGCCCCCAAATTTAGTATAAAAGACAGGAATTCAGCCAGCCAAAACAAGGATGCACTCGAGCTGGAGACCCTGATGAGCACCTGACACCCCATCAATTGTCATCTTTCCTGATCCTCTGCGTGATCATCACTGCTCTCAAACTCTACCGCCTCCTCTGGACCTTGGTGAGAGCTGCAACTTCTCCCTATGACCCCCTCCTCAACCGGTCATCCACTCCACGCCAGGAAAGGCCTGCCTTGGTTCCGGACCTGATCACCCCTGATCACCGTGGTCTGAGTGAGTGTGCATCTGCTGGACTTAAAGCCTAAGGCTTAAGACTTTTGAACTTAGCATGCAGAGGAAATGTCTGTTGTTAGCTTATCATGATTAAGTAGGTTTTGCAGTGCTTAGAATTAATCTAGAATTGTTTGCTGTGAATTGATTATGTCTATTGCAGTACCTAGCATTAAGGATTGTCGTTTTCTTGATTAAGAACCTATAGAGTGAAACTGTAGTGAGTGATTTGAGTGAATAAACCATTGAAAGGGGCAGAAGTGCGTGGACATTCTTTATTTCTCCCCTCGACTGCATATGCTGCAATTTTGCAGCCTCCCAACACAAACCCTATCTCAAAATAAAAAACAAAAAGGGCTAAGGACCTAACTAAGTGGTACAGTCTCTCATATCAAAAAAAAAAAAAAATGGTAGCTGCGGTTCTGCATCCCCACCAACTCTGGTGAGAGCACCCATTCTTCCTCACCATCACTGGGTGTGATCAGTGTCTGGCTTGGGTGGGGGGGGTCGGTTTGCTAGGTCTCTAATGACAAATGATGGTATCTTCTCACCATTTGCCATTGGGGACCTGGAGATTATTTTTTAGTTCCAATGTACACAGTCTTCCCATCTGCAAAGAATGAGTATCTTATTGCTTGTTTTCCAGTTTTATAAATCTGATTTCTTTTTCTTGTCTTACTGCACTGGCTAGAACTTCTAGAATAAGGTTGGATGAAAGTGATGTTGAGCATTCTTGTCTTGGTTCTAGTCTCAAAGAGGAAATGCCCAGTACTTTATGTTACCTATATTGACAGCTACAAATACACTTTACCAGGCCAAAGATGGTCCCTTTCTGTAGCGTGTGTGAATGACTTTAGGCC